GTAAGACCCCGTGCACCTTTACTATAGCTTTGCATTGACAACCTTGATTGAATGTGTAGGATAGGTGGGAGGTGGTCATCAGTGACTACAAGCTTGAAATACCACTCTTTCATCTAAGGGTGTCTAACTGCCAAAACAATTGGTTTGGTAGAACCTTGCATGGTGGGTAGTTTATCTGGGGCGGATGCCTTATCTGGGGCGCTTACACAGTAATGTTAAAGGCAAATCTGGCTATATGCGGAAACCTCCGCCGAGTATCCAATAATGAATGCGTCGGTGCGGACAATCAGTAGGGAAGGAAGTCTAAGACCGTAAAGCCTCAACGACTGCACGCCAGGACATTGAGGAAACCAGGCCACGAAGTGGCAACAACATCAGAAGCGCACTGCGTACTCAATTGAACCCAGAGAGCATACGGTGGAACCAGTGAACCATTCGAATCTCTTTTCGAATGGGGCAGAGGGCTCGTAGTACCTACCACACTTCGCACCTACCGGCAGAGGGGAAGGAGCCTAAATCGACGGACTTGGACCGCGAAACCAAGCACGTTGCATACTTGAGAGTTAAGGACACTTCTTCGTGAGTTGTATGCTCGACGAACACTTCTTCGTGTGTTACCACCTGAGCTACGTGGGCTCACGGGGAAATTGGAGACGATCGGACTTGAACCGATAACTTCATACTTGCAAAACATGCGTTCTACCACTTGAACTACGCCCCCGACGGAACGGAGGAAATGGGATTTGAACCCATGATACAATCTTGTTGTATGTTGATTTAGCAAACCAATGCCTTCAGCCACTCAGCCATACCTCCCGGGAAAAACGGCCTGTGGCTATGATCCAGTCTTTATTCATTACCCAGAACAGTCCTGACATATCCTCTGGTGAGGGCACCGGAGCTAGCGATCTGATGCTGTCCAGGGCTAATTTATGCCATGCGCTGTCTGGGTTCATCAGAAGTTTGATAATCCACTTAATCTGCAGGGCTTTTGTTTCTGTTCCAGGGTCTATAATCCCTAGACCTCCCTTTAGCGGGCTCCTTGTGGCATAGTGCCATGCGACTTTAGATATACTGTTCTCTTTGTTGGGGTTAGAACTTCAAAACTTAAAAATAGTAAAATAGTAAAATACAGCATTTTCTGCTTCCGTTAGACAGGATGCGAACTATCACTGGTCCAGTCTGATAAAAGAGGGAGAGGAGGCATGTTTATAGAATCGGTGTCGATAGTTGTGCTGATCTCTGACTCTGACCTGCAGGTTACAGATCTCAATCACCCCCTTGTTGGCCTGGAATATGGACTCCTGTTGAAGAGCCATCTCTCCAACTCCAGAAATTGCAAAGGTGGAGGCCAGGTGCACGCCTGATTGACACATTAGTAGGGAGGAACATAGATAAGAGGCATGATAGGTAGACAGATAAACGGATGGATGGATGGACGTAAGGAGGAATCAATGGAAGGATGAGCAGGTGGGTGGGCCAGTGGGTATTGAGAAGCACAAAACAAAATGCGAAAGAAAAGAGGGGGAGCAAAAGGAAAGGCAAAGGGCCCAAAAAAAACAGATTAAGGGTTGCCAAAGCCACCATATGTGGTGCAACAAGAGATATTGGACAGGGATTTGCAGATGCCAGGCACACAAACAAGACATGAGTAAAAGTTCACAAGATATCTTTTCCATGCAAAAAAAAAAAAAAAGTTGCATGCAACATGAGCGTGCCTAATTGGTCAGCGGCATAGCAGTCATGTCGATGGTTGGCGCCCCTGGATTGGCCGGCTGCCGACCAGCCAACTGTTCCACCCGTCCGCACCTACAGGTCGGGGATCAGTCAGCGCCACGCCAAAAAAAAAAAAAAAAAAAAAACATTAAAAAAAAAGGAAAAAGGGGTCCATAGCCCCCAATAAC